GTATAAGAACTTATGCGACAACCTAATAAGACTGCAATATCCAACCGACCCCACGGCTGCATTACTATCAAATGATGTACGCAGCCTACCCATCCAATCTCCGGCATATGGAGCGTATCGACGCTATGAAAGAAATGTTTTTTACCACCACCGCCTTCTCCCCCCCCCCCTAGACCGTTGTACTGATTCTTGCTCATTTTCAGCAATAAACTATTTACGTCCTTATCCCATCGTTATTGGACCATATGTTCGGAATCAAGCTGCTACCCAGACATAACTTGAGATTCATGAACGTCCAACCACTCAAATGACTACTGGCCCCACACAACAGTATGCCATGGTCAGCATCCAGCTAGTAGTCCAAATTCCTATCCTCATAGTCTAGTTCGCTGCGAACGACGGGGCGTGCCAGGCAGGATGTTTGGCGCGGTGTCAAACTTGTTCTCCACCATTTGTTGAAGCGAGCAAGTGACAAGACTGTATCATATCGTTCGTATCACTCGTTTTCTACCAACTGTTGTCGCATACCCGCTTCAACAACTGGCAGAGAACGGGTTTGGCGCCGTGGCACACTCATACTGCCTGATGCGCCCCTTCATCCGCAGAAAACTACACTGTACTTCTTCTGCTACGGTAGTGGTTTCTACCATTACCGTAATAGATGGCGAATTATCCAATGCTCAGACACAGTAATCGCAGCTACACTATCACTATCAGTTTCATCCCATGAATATAAGCAACCATTTCCGGGTGGGTCTCATTTCATACACTCGTTCGCCTTCGCTGGTAGTTGGATTACAGAGAACTGGCCAAAGTTATTCACTCGTCCGTTATTCGCAAAGATTCACGTTATTAAGGTAGGCATTTAACGTTAAAGAATAGACTGGTAGCTTATCTGAAGTTTTTAGTAGAATGGGAGACGACCCAACAAAATCAAAATGTAATGCTACGATACAGGGCGACAAAAAGCCTGATGAGTCATCCAAACTAGTTAAAGACCCCGAAGACGTAAGCACTTGGTACACTGTAGAGTAGCGAAGAGAGAGTAACGATAGTTTACTTTCAGAAAAGCAGTTGGCTTGGTCCGGTTAAGAAGAAGGTTTGACACTTCATTGGAGTTAGATAGTTGTTTGTGAGTTCTCGGAAGATCGTAAGCATTACAGGGTGAGAAGGATAGCTCGGAAAGTCACCGAGTTGCCGCTGACGCGCCATCACGAAAGACCTCGTCACAAGCACCACAAACCAAAACAGATAGACCCCTCGTGTCAAAGTTGGGGACAATCGAGGTAAGCAACTATTCAACTGCCTAGTGAGCATAAGAGCAAGCCAAGTGTTACCCGAATGAGTAACTGGCGAGTCCGCAACTAAGAGCCCCTAACAAAAAGCCGGCATAGCGCTATCGATTCCCTGAGTCTCCAGATGGGTACGATGACCGTACGTCCCTTTACGCGGTTGATCCGCTTCTACTACTTCCGCGATTCGCCCATTCTTCCATTCGCCAGATCCGCAGATTGCGAACCCCGCCCACCCAAACCAGAAACTCATGTAAAATGAGTAGTACAGTGAATCTGCTCAATCACAGAACAAACTATCCCACTCTGTTGATAATACTATAGTAGAGGACTGATAAGGCATCCGAAACTTCTTGATCACATCATTTCCTCTAGCTCATTTCTATTTCCAGGAAATCTTTTGGAGCTGTTGCAAAAATTCATGCAGTCCTTTATTGAACGAGATACTTGTGCTCAAGCAGTATTTTTCGTATCTTTCTCATCTCCAGCGACACAAAGCCAAATGATTAATGGTCGACTCAGGCGCGTTAAAAACAGAGATAGGGCACGTTCTGCCATTAGGGGGAAAATTAAAAATACGACTCCCTCAAGATTTTCTCGTCTAGTTCCGCATCCTACCTACCAACTTCCCCACTCTCTCCACAGCTTATCACTTTTCGGGATTTATTCAAAACTTCTCGCACTTTCTCTCCGAAAACTACCAGAGCGGGGAGGGGCTTTCCTCAAAAGGGGAGAAACCGAGAAACTTTTTAAAAATTGGGGGGGGTTTTTTTTTGTGTGGTGATTCTATCGTGGGGTTGCGCGTGCGGTGGCGGAGCGAGGCGGCGGTGGGCGACCGCCCGCGTGTTTTTGTTGCGTGGCGTTGCGAAATTGTACAGGGATCATCGATCCTTTAACAATCTGCCGAACGTTTGGCGCGATCACGTTACAGTTACGTGTTGTAACGGGTTGGATTCATCTGGAAGTAGGTTTGCCTGACAGGATTTGACGTGTGGGCGATAAGAAAAACCGCGCCAAGCGACATACACCCAACGCCACGCAACAAAATGTCAATAATCAATGCTTTCATGTTACGCCGTGAACCAACGCTAACGCTTTGCTCCAATGATAACTCGGAGTACGGTAGTGCAACTCCGGGATTGCCGCGTTGCGGCGTGCCGCGCAGCGGCATGTGCGGCGTCGCCTGACTTGCCGACGATAGAATCGCCCGGGTCCCGAGAATATTAGCTGTGGCTTCTTTCCGCGAGTTAAGTGTCTAGTGGTATTGGTCCTATGTGTCAACGAAGGCGCCTGATAGAACAAAATCGCAAAGATGGAGTAAGAGTTCGATTACACATAATAGCTGCAGGAAGATCGGATACAAGATGACAAAAATGTGTTGCAGAAGTGATGACTTTAGTCTCTGCTCCTATCCTAGACACAATGGGCGGTGGCCGTTAGGGAACACGGTAGTACCACCGCTTGTACTTGAGGGAGCGCGGCGTATCCGGCGGTGCCCGCTGCCGCATTTACGGTCAGGCAAACGCCGAGAACGCACCCAGAACTTCCCTACTTACATATATTCGAACCCGAATCTTTACATTCATTGCGCAGCAACCGAGAGCATTTTTTGCAAAGGCAAGTATGAATCCCTCGGGCAACTAAGTACGACTTCCTCGTTGGGGATATCCAACGTGCGACGCGCCCTGTACCCTGCAATCCATGCCTGCGTTTGAGCGAGTAAGAGGACAATGCGCTCATCGTTTCATCCCTAAAGAGACCTTTTCAACGAGGCAATGATGATAGAAGCTCAACTCCCCCTATCAATTTTACGTGCCGTGTGCGAGGTGAATGAGTCCGCAGCTGCAGTAGCGTGCCTCTTTCCCCACTCAAAAGTGCACAGGATTGAGGATGGGGAGGGGGAGGGGGCAGCCACCCGACTGCTGTCCCCACACTCTACCCACGCTGCCGGACGGCCCGCCACTTGCCTAACTGTAGAAAAACCCTTTGCTTGTCTGCGCCTTCTCATTTAGGGCTCGCCTCTAACTCCGACTGCACTTTGAGCGGAGAAACTGACACACTGCTGCAGCTGCGAACCCATTCAGATAGGCTCGATTATCACAATGGAAGCGCTGTAGACGAGATTTCGTTCGCACATGCTAATGGTTTTAACCTGCCCTCATTGCTGTCTTTCCTTTCACCGACTGCTTCTACTATATCCTACTTCAATGAGAGGCGATAAATCCAGAGATTGTAAGGAATTATCGCAAGAAATTGCGAGTGTTAAGAAAATGTGGTACAAAGTTGAGGTTCAGGTGGAGCGTGATGCTGTTGATAAGGGCATGGCCGCATTCGTTGACGAAACGGCAGAGAGAACAATATGCGTGAGTTCTTTTTCGTGTGGCTCGATCTGGAACTGCCACCTAGCACTCCCACTCAGGAGCTTCAAAATGAGCCCTGGTATCACGGTTCACTTCCACTCGAGGATATTGCGGCTCTCGTTGCGGACCAAGGAGATTTTCTGATACGAGAACTCGAACCTGAAGAAGGAAGAGGTCCAATGGTCTGTCAAGATTAGATTTCAGAATTTGCAACCAAGTCTCATAAAACTTTCGACAATCTGACAAAAGGTTTGCATGCACGTCGCATCGACGGTCTTCTAACTGTCGATAGAGATCATGCCTTGGAAAGCGTGCTGTTAGTAATCCTTCTATTCTATAAACCAGTAACTTTGTGTGTCGGTTTGTATGTATGTATGTATGTCTGTCCGTCCGCAAAATGCTTCACGGGTTCGAATTAGTGGAAGGAAGAACGACCGCTAAGCAAACCGGAGCAGAGGGGGGGGGGGCACCGAGTGA